GCGGCGTCTGCGCCCGCTTGCTGCGCGGCCCCACCGCTGCTGTCACGCGCGGCGGCTCTGCAAATGATCACAACAATGATATCGATTGTTCCTAAAATACCTTATTGTCATAATAGATATCTTCAGTCATAACTAATTGTGCTAATTCTTCCGTATACGTAATCGCTACTTCATTCAATATTAAGTCATTGTTATCGTTGCGATTTGGAAACCTGATATAGAAATTATTAACTCTTAAAATTGTTCGTCCATCTTGAACTCAGAGATGCAAATTAATAAAAAAACTCAGAAGAAGTCATTTCGACACAACATTGCACATCATTATGATTCCATTGTTTTGTTAAAATAATTGCACAATTCAGCGGAGGCGAATTCCCATACGTGCGGGTACAATACAAGAGTCGTGTTGTCGGTCGGTTGTTGCAACTATTGTACGTCGGAGCAAAGAAATCGGTGCTTCTCATTGTTCATTATTATCTAAACTGAACAATCGTGACGGCATTGTCGGTATCAGAGATCTTATCTCACAATCATTATTCAATTGATATTTGATTGACGTTTATCAAGACTACTGTATTTGGTATTATGTTACATAGAAAAGGATCCATTCCTATAGATAACGTATCACTTTCATCTTTAAAATGTTTAAAACATAGATAAGAACTATCAGCAGTATCAGTTTTTCCGCCACTAGATGGTGTTTTATTTAATTCAATTTAAGTATTAGATATGTGAAATCGGATGCCACAACTTCAAACACATGGTAAATATAACCTCCAATTGACAAGCCAGATGCAATACCATTAGCGTCAGTCATTTCTCCGAGCCATTATTGTTTATTTTGACGTGCATTGACGCGTGTTAATTACAAATCTAGATTTTAGCATTGGTATTTAAAGGTTAATATTCTCGCATTTCATTTCATTAACAATACTTAAATATAGAATTAGCAAAGGAATGCATTGCACCGGAGTCGCTATTGTCGGTATGACGTACATTGTAACGCAATTGCGTTCTTTAGTACCTATCAATGTAATGAACCTGTAAATGTTTTTTTTTCTTTTCATAGTCAGACAGTTATTGAAAAGTCTTTCAATCATTGCCAGTTGAGATTCATTCCATTAGCAGTAAATATTTTTAATTCATTGTCAATAAACACATTTCACACTTTGTATATTACAAAATTTCAATTTTAAAATATGTAAATGTAAATTGATATCTGCTTGTACAAATTAAAAACTTTCTCCTTTTATTAAGGATTATGATACGCTTAGTACTACATCACTGTAGAGTATGAAAGTGAAATCGTCGACAGAATTAATTATCGATTCATTCACGAATATTGAGCAAGCATAAACGAATAATTAGTAACGAAATGTAACAATAAGTCTATCGTAATTCTTTGTATAGATTAGTGAAAATGAAATTTTAAGAAGCTCTTTCTTAGGTTATCTATTACTTGTATCCAACATGAATGAACACTTCTTTAAAATGATATCTTACTTAGGAGTAGAGGTACAATATATTTTCAAGATAGTCAATTGTAGTTAATTTGACCTTCTGTGACTATGTATTTTTACTTTTATTTTTTGCTACAATAATCTGAATAAATATTTAATCTCCTTGACTGTTAAACTGGCATTGAAATGTATCTTACAATCGATGGCCATGAATTTAACGACAAACACATGTGAAATGTAAAAGTTGACGGAAGTGAATGACAATAAATCATTGAATTTCATTATGATAAAAATACAATTTCTTTTTTAAGTCAGCATTTCCCACGCGGTCCATTGCCAGTTCTAGTTGGATTTACGCATCATTAACTTATATGGCTAAAGCCAACGCCCATTTCCGACGAGACACAATAAATAAACTATAAAGAATCTAATCTCTGCGCAGGCGAAATGAACAGATGTAAACGACTCGTTAGCTCGCTTAATGAATCAAAATTAATAAAATATAGCGAAGAAATCGTAGAAAAAGAAACACAAACACTTCTTGCATGAATGCGGTTACTAAATTCTGACGAATGAATTTAAATAATATCTTAGAATTTTCAAAGATTGGAGAAATATCAAACATTGTTAAGGACATCATTTTTGATTTTTTTTAAAAGAGGTATTCACATAAATAGATTTTGGTACTCAGTTAGTTCAAAATTTAAAAATAAAGTGACGCAAGTACAGAACATAAACCCTTTTAACTTTCCACGTCTTAAAATCTTTTCTGTTGTTCTCTTATATTCTTACATAGGAAGGGCTTACAGTACAAATGCGATGAGCTCAGACGAGATAATTATGCGGATGATACCTCTATAGTAATTTTGTAAATTGTCTGCAGAGGGTCAGGAGACGTGAGCTCTGCGCGTGGGCAGACAATTGGGAAGATCGTTGAAATTTAAAATTAAGGAATATTCAGGGCTGCTTTATAGCATGACAAAGTTTACTACGATTACATCCATATAACTATAAAATAATTCGGTTTTCTAATGCTAATGTTACATATATAAGGGCAAGGTTTGCATTTTTGTATGTATTGAAATAACTCAAAATTTACTGGGTCGATTTCAAAAAATCTTTCACTATTAAAAAGCTACTTTATCGGCGAGTAACATGGGCTATCTTTTAAGTTTTTTTTTAAATTTTACGCGGACGGAGTAGCAAGCAACAGCTAGTAGAACTATACAACAGACATATTGATTTTTTAAAATTTTTTTTTTATGATTTCAGCTATGACAGAATATTTTTAAGTGATATTATTAAAACTTTTTTAAAAATCAATAATGTAACGTAGAATATGCCTACACAGAATAAAATCATCCGCATTACCGCAAACATATAAAGATCCAATCACTTTCACCCACCTTTATCAACACGTGTTATGTTTTAACGATGTAACTTCGGGTCAAGTTGACCGCACTTGACTCCTAAACCGATTAGGTGACACTTTGTATGGTTAAGTATGGCGCGAGGCGGAAGTTTTGCGTTTTGGTTTAAGTTTAACTGGTAAACGGGATGTTACAATTCAACGTGGCAGTTGCGGTCGTACCGTTTAGAACGTGGTATACTGATGTGAGTTTTTAGCAGTACATTACACCAAAGATATAAACTTTAATTTCATTATCTAGTCATATTTTAAGTTTTTATACGGTTAAAAAAAGACATATTTACTGTCACTTATTTACTTGATTTTGCAATAAAAGTTTATTGTGAAACGTGTATAATTGTAGAGTCACAACCCTAATAACCCTACAAGTGTATAAAATATAGAGCTCCGACGCGAAACCCTGAAAGTCACGTAAGATATTAATAACAGACAATTGAAATTTTAACTACACTGTGCATACCTTACGCATGCATTCCGTCACAGAGTATGCAAATATCAGAACTGGTTTATTCGTTTTCATGTAAAGAACTGGATGATATGTCTTAATGTTTAGTCATACGTACGATACAGCAAAAAGTTGTCGTGGTCGGCTTTCTCTGTAAAGACTTTGCAAGTCAAATGTAATACGAAATAAATTCGTGTCACTAACTTGCGTGAAATATTTGCAATTTAATTATGCTTTCGTACACTTAATAAGAATTTTATCTCAGAGTTTCTATTTAGACTTTGATTCAACAATTTACGTAATCTATGTCTTTGAGACCATTTAACATCTTGATTTTTAGTGTTACCTTATTCCGCCCGGATCAAAATAGGGTACTTTCGAATTGTATGATGATCAACATTTTTGAGATTACAATGGTTGTAATGATATCTTTATTCATATAACATATGATTTAGTCAGAGACCTTTACTAATCATGTATTTCGTAATAAAATATATTCTCAGTTACATAAAAATATCTAACACGTACAATAATAATTTATGTTGGTCTGCAAAAGGAAAAGTGTGTGTTAACCAAACGCAATATGAAACATCAGTCCTACGTAACAAGTGGGTGGTCTTCTAGATAACGCAACTTATGTAAGCAAATTGATTGTTTTGAGTTGGCGTATTTTTGTGCAATTTGGACAACAAATGGGCACAGTATAAGAAAAAGTCAATAACCTCTGCTCAACTTTGACATCCATTTTAAATGCACAAACTAAATACAGATGCGTTGTCTCTCGGATGCTTAAAGCGAACAAATCTGCGATATTGTGGCTTCTAAGAATTATGACACTCCTTGTATCTGTCGTTTAATGCAAACCCGTATTTAAATTCAAATTTGTTATAGTAATAATCTTAACACGTTCAATGCCAATATGATAAATTATACGATTACAGAATCGATATAGCGGAGTGAGTAGTTGGCACTGAACGTGTTAATCAAATAACAAGTACGGTCAAGAGATCTTTACTAAAGCCAGTGTTTAACAACAGTTTTACCATGTAATGTTACGTCTATAGCATGCTATTACGGATTTGTCATTTGATGTCAGAATCCCACTTTTAAGTGGGGTAACGGGTCTCCGTGACAGCCGTGTGGTGAATACGCCATTAAACGATGATGGCTTCACGATACAATAAAGGTAGCGGTTCGCGACGACACTCTTCCCATAGTCCACACAATGTCAACTTTATAAAATAAAGAACTTACGATTGGTTCGCATTATTGCTACTAGAATTTTCCACTGTTTTAGGTAAGAAAAGCGAACTTTACTACGACATGTTCCAATAATATTACAATGTAATAAGCCTACATTTAACAAGTAACTCATACTATCCTAGAGTTCATTAACCTCCTAGATCTTGCTTAGTTTAACTTTATCGCATCAATTTTTTTTTCATTTGTATTACCAAAAATATCTTAGAAAACGCGAAATGTTATTTTACGCAAGTTATAACACTTTATTTATTTTATTTTCAATCATATTCGAGTTAGTATGCATTAAATATTAAAAACCTGTCGTTAAGATCTATACTATAATTATTATATAGATTTGGTTTTAAAACATTTTGATCCAATTCACGATAACTATTTCCAATTAAAGCAAGTTACTAATTAAAGCTAGCCGCCGGTTAACGATATCTGCCTCATTTTAAACGAGTTTTAAAAGTTTTTAATG